CTTGAATTCCCGAAAAGGCACCCGTCCCTTTGGGAGTGGTTCGAACACTTAGGGCAAGTCTAAGAAATAAAATGATTAGAACAAGCAATAATTGGACTTCCCCAAAAGTCACCCGTCCCTTTGGGAAGAATGATGGGAATGAATAAGAAAAGTTATGATAAGCAGAATACTTTTTTACAGAAACAACCAGCAAACATGAATATTGAATTCCCCAAAGTCATCCCTTTGGAACTCATGAGAAAACTAGTTGGAAGAGGAATGCTAAGTAGAATAGTTTGCAAAACCAGTCTTCAATTCCCCAAAGGCGCCTTCCCTTTGGGAATAACAACTATAACTAGAACACTGATGAGAAGTAGAGCAATTAGCACAGAGGACTCTTGAATTCCCAAAAAGGCACCCGTCCCTTTGGGAGTGGTTCGAATACTTAGAGCAAGTCTAAGAAATACAATGAATAGAACGAACAATATTTGGATTTCCCCAAAAGACACCCGCCCCTGGGGAAGAATGATAAGAACGAACTAGAAGAGTTATCATAAGTAGAATAATCTACAAAAACAACCAGCAACCATGAATATTGAATTCCCCAAAGTCACCGTCCCTTTGGAACTCATGAAAAAGATAGAAGATGTGGGCTAAGTAGTATAATTTGCAAAAGCAATCTTCAATTCCCCAAAGGCACCCGTCCCTTTGGGAATAACACCTATAGCTAGAAGACTGATGTTAAGTAGAACAATTAGCACAGAGGGCTCTTGAATTCCCGAAAAGGCACCCGTCCCTTTGGGAGTGGTTCGAATACTTAGGGCAAGTCTAAGAAATAAAATGATTAGAACAAACAATACTTGGACTTCCCCAAAAGTCACCCGCCCCTTTGGGCAGAATGATGGGAATGAATTAGAAGAGTTATGATAAGTAGAATACTTTTTCAAAAACAACCAGCAAACATGAATATTGAATTCCCCAAAGTCATCCCTTTGGAACTCATGAGAAAACTAGTTGGAAGAGGTATGCTAAGTAGAATAATTTGCAAAAACGATCTTCAATTCCCCAAAGGCACCCGTCCCTTTGGGAATAACAACTATAGCTAGAAGACTGATGTTAAGTAGAACAATTAGCACAGAGGGCTCTTGAATTCCCGTAAAGGCACCCGTCCCTTTGGCAGTGGTTCGAATACTTAGGGCAAGTCTAAGAAATGAAATGATTAGAACAAACAATAATTGGCTTCCCCAAAAGTCACCCGTCCCTTTAAAAAGAATGATGGGAATGAATTAGAAGAGTTATGATAAGTAGAATATTTTACAGAAACAACCAGCAAACATGAATATTGAATTCCCCAAAGTCATCCCTTTGGAACTCATGAGGAAAACTAGTTGGAAGAGGTATGCTAAGTAGAATAATTTGCAAAAACGATCTTCAATTCCCCAAAGGCACCCGTCCCTTTCGGAATAACAATTACAATTGGAAGACTGATGATAAGTAGAACAATTAGCGCAGAGGGCTCTTGAATTCCCGTAAAGGCACCCGTCCCTTTGGCAGTGGTTCGAATACTTAGAGCAAGTCTAAGAAATGAAATGATTAGAACAAACAATAATTGGAATTCCCCAAAAGTCACCCGTCCCTTTGGGAAGAATGATCAGAATGCATTAGAAGAGTAATGATAAGTAGAATAATTTACAAAAACAACCAGCAAACATGAATACTGAATTCCGCAAAGTCATCCCTTTGGGACTCATGAGAAAACTAGTTGGAGGAGGTATGCTAAGTAGTATAATTTGCAAAAACAATCTTCAATTCCCCAAAGGCACCGTCCTTTTGGGAATAACAATTATAATTAGAAGACTGATGATAAGTAGAAAAAAAATCACAGAGGACTCTTGAATTCCCAAAACGGCACCCGTCCCTTTGGGAGTGGTTCGAAGACTTAGAGCAAGTCTAAGAAATAATGATTAGAACAAAAAATGGAATTCCCCAAAAGTCACCCGTCCCTTTGGGAAGAATGATCAGAATGAATTAGAAGACTGATGATAAGTATAATAATTAGCAAACAGGACTTAGTTGTGCACCTGTGGCCTTTGTCAGTCTCCTGACATCGAACCTAGCTGCACGCCTGTGCCCTGTGTTTGGCCACGGACAATATTACTTAGCTGCGTGCTTGCAATTCCTTTGCTGGTCATGAAATTGAAATTGAAACATGCGCACGAGAAATAACACACATGTTTGAACCAAGTGTCTGTTTATTCAGCAGTATCCTTGTGCATGGTAAGTGCATATTATCTCTGTAGCACCATGTGGGAATAGAGTTTTGGTGTGCGTGTGAGTGCATGAGCATGTAACATGAAGCGGTGCTCAAATGCAAAAAACGCGCGGCGACGCATAGGACTCATTATTCCCTGCCACGGGGGGGATGGATGCGCGCGGTGTCCCCAGCAAGGTTGGTAACTCTAGTCATATCTGCAAAATTGAGGGGGTTACTCTTTTGAATCTTTCCAACATTTTCCAACTGTGGCTTTCCTGATTTGCGGAGTCGACTGGCAAAACTATTGCTGACTTTGTGGCCCTTCACCAATCTGAAGAAGCAACAAATGCATGGAACGGAAGCGTTTAACGTTGACCACCTCAACAAGTAGATACAAGCCAATATCAATCGGCGCATAACATTGGCTAATTCCAACAACAGAAGAGCGACTCCCAAGAAATGTCCACAGGACCATGCCATATCAGTGCCGAATTAGTCATCCCAAAGGGCTTCGCCTGATTAGTATGGTCCTCCAAATGAATCCGAAGTACGTCACATAGATTTAGCTGAGTTTCTCAATGCCGAATCCTGATCCGTAAGCTGCAGTGAGACACCAACACAGTAGGGAACTGTTGATTGCCATACACATTTAGAAGCTGTTTTGCAGCACCGAAGCCTAAAGTGCCAATACTCCAAGCAAGGTTGCTGCAAAAACAAGACACTAAAACAGAAGGGGGCATGGGGCGTTTTTTTGCTGCACCATGGCCAAAAGCGAAAGGAAACAAAGATGCAAAGCCCAACCCCTCACAATTTATTCAACGATCAAACAATGTTTGGGCCTCTGAATTATACTTAATAGATTGATCAAGCTAAGATTAGTTTGTAACTAAAAGGACACATAATTGAATAAGGAAAGGCTACAAACTGAATCATGTTTGTTTTATATTACATTATTGTCTAAATTAATGTTTCACTGGATATCCTTTCCAATAGAATTGTGTTTACAAATCAGTAAACATTTCAACACAACTTATTCAACAAATTTGGGACCTCTCAGTTCTTTCCTTATGAACTCGACTTATTTTGTCATCAAGTTCTACTAGTTTTCTAACTGAAAATAAGAATCAATTAAGAAGAAAAGACTCCGATCCGAGAATCAGAGGAAAAGCATCTCCAGCATACTGTGCTAATAGGGCTTGATGATCAATATCTTTGAGGACTCCCAAATTCGAATGCATTGATGCGAGAAATTGGCCTTCAACACTCTGTTCAACGTAAAACACTGATCATGTGCTGGCATTGGTCGGAGCGCAACGCTGCTCATGAGGGAGATCAATGCCCCGCCAGCACTTCAGTCGATCTGTACACACGAAGCTGAAACGAACGTGTGGTTGATCAGAAAACACTGAACAACATGCAAACTACAGCCCCCACGGCGTACCGCTTTGCAAAAGCGATCCAGAACCCGACTAACATGGCACTCGCCACCCCCAGCTGTGCCCAATAAAACAGGTGGACAAAATGCTCGTGCGAGGAGGGGGGGGGAAGTTGAAGTTGGCCAAATTGTGGTCGTGGATGTTCAGCTCCCTGCAGAACAGAAGGCCGGGGGACAGATTGCGAATCCGTTTTCTTCGGCTTTCTTCATGCCTGGCTTCATGAAAAGTGAGTCGGGATGTGTCGCTTGTGTGCGCTCCTTTGCAAGTTTTGGAAAGGTGTTTTTTGGGGCCAGACGGTATCAGACCCGGACACGAGTCAGGCAACGCAGCCTTTGATCAAAACAAAGAAAGAACTGAAACATACATATCCTGGGGTTGGGACACGTCCCGTAGGGCTCATCTGAAAGAAGCGCGGTTCCAGATTCCAGGCCTCAAGGATATACTGATGACCCTCCTGAGATTTCGCACGGAAACCCAAGAGTATGGCAAAGTCCATCAATAGATAGCGGTAGAGTCTGGAGGAATTTCCTTTGGTGGACGCCTTCTTGTGGGGACATGTTATTCGTGAGGGGCGTTTGTGTCTTTTGGCAGAAATATGTTGCTGAGCTTCACGCTTTACATACATGAACAACCAACAATCTTATTGATAGCCTATGTTAGCTACTGATGCGACTCGAGGCAATTGGCCAGGCGTTGTGTGTTTGCTGAGTGTTTGACAACACTGCCACAAACTTCCCAGTGTGACTAGCAGCATGGTATTTACGTTAAAGTTAAAGCAAAGTGTCACAGACCGTCTGAGTATGCTTTGTGTTTTCGGGCAGGAGCATGGAGATCCTCTTTGGCGCCATTTGCACAAGTAATTCGCTCAACAAGAGGCTTCTGCCTTGCCGCACTTTTTCAGAGATCAGAGATCGGGAACACTTTTCTTGATTTTAGTTTGGAAGTGAAAGACTTGTGGCATTCGGAGGACAGCGCCGTCCTGGCAAGAATGCTTGCCACGATTAGCAAATGGACAACACCGGCAATGATTTGTGTTGCACCAAGCTCGAGCTCCAACCAAGATGGAATCCTTACTGTCCCAAGAACTCACTAGGAGCCAGAAGGATCTCCCGAAACCAGGTTTCACAAATTCCACATAGAGGCTGCACAAAATGGCGAGACCATGTTGCGGACCCTCACAAGGCGGCACAAATTAGGACCAGGTCAAGCAGGCCCCTGTGTTTGCCACGACATCCTATTGGCAACCCGAGTTGTTCAGACCCTTTCCCCAACATCGTTGCAGTTGTCTCTCCATTTTCTAAAGACGGTCCCCGTTTTCAACTCCTTACCAG